TACATGCGCACACTAGAATATCCTCCTTAAGCACTCCAAGCATTTCACAACGATCGGACAATGAATACCGAAAGTTATTTAATATACAAATTTTTGGTACTAAGGCAAGGAGTTAGCACAGCTCCGAGCTCAACATGTTTGATGTTTGAGCTTATAGAAACCAACTTTTGTGGGCAGACTCTTTTACAATAGAAATAGATATCATCTCCCTTGGAAATGGTTAAATGCACTCACTAAAGTTGTTTAATATTGAGATTTTCTGGTACTTGGTTAAAGAGGTAGAAGCGAGTCTAGCTTGTGCTTCTCATCAATCTATGTACAGGGTATCTTGAAGCCATGCCTTTGCAACTAGAGCTAGTTTTTGGCTTTGTTGTTCTTGTATTGCTGCAAATTTGCTTGTTGCATTCTGCGGCTGTCAACATTTGCTGCCTGTTTGCCGCTCTGTCTGATTGTCCGTCTGTCTCTTTCTCTTTTTGTCCCTTTCGCTGTTTGTTGATTGTTTTTTGCATTTAATTTTGCATTACTTTTGGTTGTGATGTTGCAGTTTGGATTTCTGCTGCCAGCCAGCAAAAAACAAAGGGCATGGTCGCGCACCCCGCCCCCGCCACCCATTTTTCGAATGTTTTTTTTTTTATCTGTCGCCTTTGTTTATTCATGCAAAGTTTTGTGTTAGCTTTGTAGTGTATGCCTTGTTTTTTTTTTGTCGCTCAGTACTTTCACTGCTCGTTAAAAGCGTGCAACAAATGTTTTTAATGGTCCTACCCGGCCCACCCACAGGGCGGGCAGCTGGCCAAAAATTGTGCTGGCTTTTGGCCAGCGGGTTGCATCTTTCACCTGTCCGTCAAGCACATTATGAACACAATTATGATCATTATATGTTGTTGTTTGATTTCTGGCGCTCAGACGAAAGCGCAAAAATTTTCCTAATGAAGCCGGCAAATGCAACTATGGCCATGGCCAGCTGCTGCTGCTGTTTGACTTTTATGATTTCCATTGCATGGCGTTTATTATGGACAGCAAATAGAAAACACGCCAGCAAAACGAGAAAATCAATAGAAAATTCCCCTCAACTTGCAAGCTGTAAATGAAGTGAGTGAGCCAGGTGCACCAGGTGAGCCGGAGGTGTGCCGGGCATGCTGGTGGGTGAGCTCCCTCCGCTGCCGCAACGCTGATCTATGTGCGTATGCCATAAATCGTAACAATAACAACATGACCACTTGGCCAGACAACTGGCAGACAAACCCGCAGCAGCAGCTGCAAAAGATGGAGCTAAGACATGGACGGGCGATTTCACTTGACAGGCGCGACCACAGTGATACAGAGAGAGACAGAGAGGGAGATAGAGAGAGAGAGAAAGGGGGAGAAGCGCTAGGCTTCACTTCTGTCCAAGCGAACATTTCCCTCGACTCATCGCTGTCCAAGCGCAATGGAAAAATGCCAATTCCACTTCAAGTACAGCCCAGCGAGAATTCTGAAGGTTTCAAGTAAAATGCTTAAATTGAGCATGAAACAAGTTTAATTTACTTGAAACAAGCAGACTCTTATCAAGTTCTAAAAACTTAGAAGCATGTGCATGTTAGGCTTAAGCATAAAATGTAAAATACTTTTTACCAGAACTTGCATACTTGAATTAAGCTCAAAAACTCTTCAAGAAAGTCTTAAACCTAGAAAATAATCTTGTACCACAAACAAATGCAAGCTTAAATAAAGCATAGAAATATTTATTTTAAGTAAAATATCTCTTAAATTAGATAACACTGCCTTAAACCTAAGTTTAAGCAACAAGGCTTGAAAAACGGAAAGATCTTTAATTGAAGTAAAACACAACTTAAACTAATAACTCTGTGCCTGAAGACCAAGTTTAAGAAACAAGGCTTGAATAAAGGCATAGAACTTTTACTATGTGCCTTAAGCCTTAATTTGCCTGGAATACATATTTCCTACTCAGTCTAAGCAGTTGTCGACTGTACTTCGCCAAGCTTTTACTTAATTTGAGCAAAATATACCTTGAGCAGTGTTCACTTGACTTTACTTTACTTTCTGCAATTCCATTTGCAATTGTTGTTGCAACATGAGAAATGCGGAGCTGCTCGATGTTATCACTAAGGGGAGAGCTCCATGCTCCTGGCGAATCTCATTTATTTGTTATTACAACACTCGAGTTACAACACTCGAGACCCTGCCTGAAATATTGTCGCACACACACACACACATACACCAATACACACACACAATACACAACTCATAAAAAGCCCATTTATAACTGTTAACTTGTACAAAAGTATTTACAGGCGATTTAGCCGCTCACCGAATTACAACCAGCTCACAATTGCAATTGTTTATTTGTGTTTTGTCGCACCACCAAACCCACTCGCCCCCCCACCACGCCACTGAGTGGGTGGTGCTGTGCTGTGGCAACTTCTCTGCCACTTTTGGGAAGCAATAAAAAGTGTTTTTGTTGTTGTTTGTACAATGTTGTTTGTGTTTTTGTTTGTTAGCCTTTATTGTTGCTATTATTACAGTTGTTGTTGTATTTGTTATTTTTGTTTAGTGGCCAACACAGCTGCTGCTGACACGCACAAAAATTTCCAATGCACAAAAACTCAAGTGCGAAAAATACGAGATATATATATATATATAATATATATAAATGTGTGTGTCCATTTATATAAATGTATTTATGTACTCTATCATAGCGAGAAAAATGGGCTGCCTTTGTTCTATGGCTGAATAAGTTTCGTCATCAGCAGGCGAACTGAGCTGTTAACTGACACTCGGTCACGGGCACAATCAGGTGCCAAGCGGGCTACAGTAGACACTCCAAATGAAAAACCCACGTGTGGTGGACGCAGATTAGAAAGGCACAAATAAACATAGCCTAATTGCTTCAAAACAAGAGTCACAGCTAAAGATTCTGATATTAAAATGACTGTAACTTTAATGGGAAAGGTAGAGACTTGCCACAAAAAAAAAAAAAAAACTCTAGAGCTGTTTAACATTTACTTTGAGGCCTTTTGGAAATTGCCTAGAAAGGTAGCAGCAGCTGTCAGACTTTCACATCTCTTTAATCTCTTTTCTTTTTGGAAAAAACTTGAAGTTTGTTTGCGAAAATGCAAGCTGCAAGTCAGAAAGAGACAGCGAGCACTCGTGAGAATCGCATAGAGAGGCGGCCGTTCACCGCAGTCAACTGTCACGTTGTGTGTGTGTGTGTGTTTGTTTATTTTAGACTTGCAATGATAACAAAAAAAAAAAAAAAATAACAAAATAAAAAACAATAATATTTGCATTATGTTTTATCTGCTGTCGCACAGGTCGTGCAGCATTTTTTATATACACACATATGTATATATTTATAGGTGTGGAGTTTTGAAAGCGCATTTTGAAAGCATTAAATTGATGTCACCCTGTTGGCCATTGTTGACTTTTATGCGTTTGGCGTTGTCAGCGCAATATTCCATATTGATTTTGGTTTTAAATAATAAACTATAGTTTTATTCTATTGTTGTTTTTTCTTTTCTATCTCTTTCTAGCGTTGCGGACTGCGCCTAAAGGCCAGACGATCGATAGGTAAGTGAAACAAAGCATTTAGTTTTTTGTTTGTTGTTCGTTTTTTTTTATACCCTGTTTTTTTGTTGTCCTCTCTGCTGCTTATTAAAATGTTGGCAGGCACTTTAAAAATGGGAAACCGCATGCACACACGCTGCAGCAGCATATGGTTTTTTTCTTTCTCCAGAATTGGGACAACAAGACGCATAAATAACCAACATGCCACCAGATAGATAGAGAGTATATGGGATAGAAAGCAAGAAAAACGAAGCGAAAACTCAGGAAAACTCGGAAAACTGCAGCCAACACTTAGAATAGCAAACAAACGGGCGACCGAGACAAAGTCTGAGGCGAGATTAGATGGGCATCGGCAGGGGCAGGCTAAAGGTATTGCAGCTAAATACAAATGCGACTGTGTCAAGATGAGACGCAAAGCGATGCCACTCCCGCCATATACCCCCTCCCAATAGCCCCTTGCCATTGGCATTGGGCAAAAAGAAAGCGCCGCAACGCCTGGCAAAACAGTTACCGGTTCTCAGACAGATGGACAGGTTTACTTTTCCGTTGGGTACGCTAACCGTGCGAGTGTGTGTGTGACAAATCAAGCGAGAAAAAAGCCCGTGCGAGAACCGCGCGAAACGTCAATGGCCAGCAGAGCAGCTGGAATTGCCGACTAACCAACTGCAACCACAAAGAAATAGTCGCTAGAGATGGGAGCGTGACGCATTCTTACAGGCAGGTCAAGCTCAAAGAAACTATTGAGCGTTAGGGGAATAAGGAGTCACAAACAAACTACGAAACTACGTATATAGAAATCAAATCATTTAAAACGTTCCAAATGAATGATTTGGTTCCAAATATTAGCCTTTGAGGAAGAGCTAGTCTCAACTAGGTTTATGCATATAGAAAACTAGGCGCACGAACCGAACCTCAAGACAGGGAACTAGTTGGAAGCGTAAACCTAATCACAGATAATGTATGATAATAATATAATATATGGGAACTAGTTCCTTTTTAATCTTTTAAGTATGTGCTTCAATTTAAATTCAATTCAAATATGTCTTAACTAGTCTTGGCTTTATTTAGCTAAAATTTCTATTCGTGTCACGAGACGCTTGTGCGTGTCACGCGACACTTGCAACTCCGATACACGATGCGTAATGGTTACAGGAAATTGAAAAACTTGCCAGTTGCGGCTCTTTTTGTCGTTGTTGTTGTCTTGTTTGGCCGCCGTTGTTGCATTTTCTTAGCATTTGGCCCTGTCAGCTCGGCGTTTGCCGAAAAACTCCCCTCGGCACCGAGTTTAGACGGTGTCAGAAGCCAAGCACTTGGCTGGTTTTTCGTTCACACCAAACGAGCGTCTATCCCAGAAGCAGAAGCAGCAGCAGCAACTCTTTGATGATTTATGCGCCTTTATTGCTTATCGCTTAAACTTGGACTTAAACTAAAAGTGCTTAAAGTCCCGGACGGGACCAACTAATCTATCTTAAACGGGGCGCGCCGTGTTCTGGCACGTCTCGTGCCGGCGCCTGTCGAGCTGTCGCTGCCTGAACTGCTGCTGCTGCTTCAGCTGCTGCTGTTGCATGTTGTGCTCCAATATATCTCGATATTCGCGCTCACGATTTAGTGCACTCCACTGCTGATAGTCGGGCTCCTCCAGCTGCCACTGGCAGCGTTCCAGCCAGATCAGCTCATTTGTCAGCCGCAGCTTGGTGCTGGCGATGCGCATCAGGCGACGGCAGCGCCTCGGGCGCCCCAGCTCCTGCCTATGCATATAGAGCGCATAGCCAATGGACTCCATAATCCTTTCTGCACAGTCTGATATGTTTGTGTCTGCGTCTGCGTCTGTCTGCCACATGATGTGCTTCCGTTGCGTGTCTCTGGCCAAATGATCCAATCTCTGCCCTGGCGCCCCCAATTTAAACACTAGCAGGTAGGTTGGCCAGCGGCCTCTCAGGATTTGGCCATCAATAGCGCACGTGTTCGCATATGCGTAACTCCGTTCAGGTAGCAGCTTTTTTTTTTAATCAAATGAGAACAGGTCAAATTGTGTTGAATACTATATACTTTTTTAAGCTGAGGTCGGCACGGATAAGGCAGAGAAATTGCCAAAGATACAAATATCACGTAGACAAACTTCTCAGGGAGATTTGTTTCCTTAAGTGTGAAAATCAGAGATGAATGTAGATGAATATTGAATATTTCAATACCACAAATGCTTCTCGAGAAGATTTATTAATTTAAACTTCAACTAAGTTGGAGTACATCAAGACATAAACAAATATTAAAATACACAACTTTTAAGCTAAAGAGAAGGATGGGAAATAGTGGAAATACGTTTAAAATGTAGACGGAGTTCTTGAAAAGAACTCCTATTCAGCTTAGTTTAAATTGAGCGTATCAAAATAAATTTGCACAGGAATTTATTTTTAATATACCATGAACCAAATCCTAAGCCAGTTGTGCTGAAAGTCGAAACTAATCCAAAGCTGGACCTATTCCTTTTTCATGTACAAATGCCTTCTCCCTATTCTATTTATCTTTTGCGGTTTCCTATAGAGCTCATATGTTATTCTTAAATGGGCCAATTTCTTTCCGGGTTGTATTTGTATCTTGCCAATGTTCATTTCTGCATAGGCATAGCATTTTTATGGAACATTTCCTGCTGTGTCTTGAACTCTCTAGAACAAGGCTTAGAGATACATGCGTCTAATTGGCTGGACAGTCAAGTTTATGCCTCTATTTCGTTTGGCTTAACTCTTAAACCTTTATAATCTAATCACATCCTCCGCTGTTTACAATGCACACATACATATCTATGGCTAGCGGGAAAAACTAACGCTCTTTGGATAGGTTTCTTTTTTTGCAGTGAAAATGTATAGAAAGGGTAGCGTGGCTTTGTGCAGGGTTATGTAACAGGCAGAAGGCTCTTTAGGGAAGGTTGAGCTTAAAAATTGATAGCCAAAATATACATATGTATAAATAAGTTTCTTCGATATCTCCTTACGTTTTGATAATATCGATATCGAGAAGAATAAGAGCTAGATACACTTTACGTGGTATCCAGGTTCTCGTACAGTGCAGACAGAATATTTCATCTTTTGAATATCTTCCCGAGTTTCTTCGCAAAATTGCAAAACCATATTTCCCCAAAGCAGAAGATATTTAAGCTTATATAGGAAAGTTTTCGAGTGCTTGCAATGTCAGCTCAGCGAGAAGTTTAGGGTATCTCTTAGTCGCACACTCCCGACTAGAGCCCTCTAGCTTGCTTTTTTTCTCGTTGCCCGCGAGATGCGAAGCTGCTGCTGCCGTTGTTGCTGCTGCTGTTGCAGTTGCAAATGCGCTTTGCATGTTGCTGCTAATTGGCAACAGTTGTCGATGGCAGAGTTTTCTTGCTTTTGGTTCTAGCCTCGTTTTCGTTTGGTTGCGTTACGTTTTGGACGTGGATTGCATGATTAATGAAAGCCGTTATGCTTTTACGAGCAGCGGGCCGAGTCTTCGCCACAGCTGCCATGTAATTTGAGCGCATGCGCCGCTGCCTCTGCCGCAGTCGCAGTCGCAGTCGCCGCCCAGGTCTGAGCCTGAGCTGTTGGGTCTATTGCATAAGTCGGCGCTGCTGGCAGCACCTCCATAAAACTGCGCGCAAGAAACAATAAAACACCAGCAAATTAGAAATTACCTTTTATGTGCGATGCGAGGGAAACAAACACACGCACAGGCAAAAAAAAAATGGTAACAAATTTACACACAATGAACGCTTGGCCAAGCGGCAGGCCCCGAGCCAGGGCAAGAGCTGGGAGGCCTTCTGTTAGTGCGTGCATTACGTCAGCAGCAGACGCCTCATTAAGGTAAATCGGAACTATATACCATATGCACATATAGATATATATATATATATATCTGCCCTATGTGAGGCGGAAATTAAGGCGTTCCCAATGGGCGCTCGCCGTGCACAGCTACAGTTCAAAGATACAGAGATGCAGAGATACAGATACAAATGTATCTGCACGCTTGTTTTGCATGTTGAGCGATTTCCATTTATTGCCATTGTATCTGCTCGTGCTAATTAACCCACGGGCAGAGAGTGTGAAGTGTGGTCATAAATATAAAAAGACAAAAGGGAAGAGTGAAAAAAAAAATATAAAACGGAATTCAAATAAATACGAAAAACTTGTAGTTTTACAGTCAGCTGATGCTCAGAACTTTGTCAGCTGCTGTTGCATTACAATTTTATATCCGACAATACGCAAAAATATAACCGACAGCAACTGCACGCCACACGCTCCTCCTCCGGCTAAGCGAGAACAACTTTCGGGGTCTGGCACGAAAAATTGTATTTTTGGAAACATAACAGAACATTGCAGCTACAAAACTATATGGAACAACAAAATATGCAGCAGAGCCCAACAACTCCATAAAACTGGCCACATCAAAATGCACATAAATAATAAAAATAACCAAGCGAAGGACCAGCAACAGGAACCGACACAAAAACAAAACAAAATACAGCCCAACCGAACGCTTCAGAATGGAGCATCATCATCATCATCATCATCATCATCATCATCATCCAAAGCCGGGCACATTTTTCGGCACAGGGCTTTTGTTTCGACAACTCCCCAGCAAAAAGCAAAAAGCAAAAAAAAAAGAGACTGTTAATAATAGAAAGGGAGAAATTATGAAATTAATTTCCAAATTTTAATTATGCAACAGTGGCTGCAACATGTAAATTGAACAGAATATCAAAAGTTAGCATACAGATAACAGACAGACGCTGCAGCTATGTGTTGTCTCTGTGGAGATAGTTTGTACTTTAGAAGAAGAAGAAGAAGTAGTGGAGAAATGTGTAACGTTTAGAAGGAGACAACTCCGAATCTTTAAGGCATATACTTATATTTCTGATCAGCAATATTAGACAGGTTGATGTTAATCTAGGAATGCTAACTTTAGGGTCTATAGAAAGCTGTAATATATACACCCTAGGAGCGTGTGTGAAAAGATCGACTCTCTCGATAATTCGCCCCGATCGATAAGAATCGATATCGAAATACTATATTGGAGCCAGGACTTATGGGAGACAAGAGACTTCTAATGTTGAACATAGAGAGGATTACCTTAATTTTGGTTCATCGATAACTCACCCTGGTCGATAAGAATCGATATCGAAATACTGTTTTTTGAGCATAAGAGCTAGAGAGATGTTAGATATGTTAGATATTGAGTGATATGTTAGAGTATACACAGTTCCAGAATGTTCCACTTATTCGGATATCTCGCCGGGGATATCTCCGGAAAACAAAACCAAGGAATTTAAAGAAGAATAGTTTAGGTCTTTGGTATTTGAATACATTTTGATGCCCTTACAATTTCATAATATTTGTATAATAAACAGCGAAGAAATAAAACAAATAAATAACTTGCCATGGTCTGCAGCTCATGAAAGAAGAAGCATAGTTTCGGCGCTTGTTGCAGGGCATCTGCCGGTCGGACACTCCCGACTGGAGCACACCTGCGTTATTATTGCTTCCTCACATCGATATATTCCATTTTTGGAGCTCAGCTTCTGTTTCATTTTTAGCTTCAGTTCTAGTTGAGAGCCCGCCACAGTTTCTGTCATTAAATTGTGCGCACGCACACTGTAAAACCTGGTTAAGCAACACACACACACTCGCACACACACACATACCAACTCATGTGCGTGCCGTGGGAATCTATGTGAATGGCTTGACCACCGCTGCTCAACTTTGATTAGAGTTAAGCCCTAAATTAGTTGCCGCTGTTGGACATTGGCTAGCGACCTTTTGGGCCCAAAGCCAACGTTGTGCACCTTTTGTTGCGCGGCATAATAATAAAGTCATGAAGTTTGCAACACACACACACACAGATGGACAATTATAAGACCGTGAATCGTAAATTCTTAATTAGCATGTCGAGATGTCTTGATTTAGTGTCTGACACGAACCAGTTTTTTATGATTAGCATTGATATAAGAATTCTAATTTATCTAATCTGATCTACATACTAACAGTTTCTGCTATATAGAGTCCAGTTCCCGCCAGATATTAATCTTAATAATAACTAATAATCGTTTTGTCAAAAAAATGGATTTATTGCAGCTGAATTTTTGTTCAATACTTCCCAAAGAAATAGTATTAGTTGTATTACTGGTATCAGGAATATGTATTTATATATTATTTGAGCTCTCGGAGATGTCTTCTTTAACAAAAACAGCCTCAGCCTCGCGTACAAATACAATAAAACATATTTTGTAAATGCAATACCCTGTTCCAAATGCTTTAAGGGCATTCAACATTCGGCGAATTATTATTTCACATTGTGCCCGCACGCAGCGGCTGTTGGCCAAAGGGGCCAATATTAATGTTCCACACGCTCTTGAAGCAATCCAAGTGTTAATCGTTCTGATTCGGCCAGCTGACAGGCGAACAAACATGATAACAACAACAACAACAACAACAACAGCAGCAGCAACATCAGCAACAACAGCAACAACGGCGACAACAGTTGCTGATTCAAGGGAAATGGGAAATAACAATACGATAAGTTGGGCTCTGCAACTTATTAGCGCACAGTTTAATAGGCTCAATTAATGTCAACTGCGTCGCTGAAGCTGCCTTCGGGCCAAGTGAAATTGTTGGTTGTTGTTGTTGTTGTTGTTTTTCTTTTTGGCCAAGACGAGAGGAAAGTTTTTGGCCATTGATTGGCGCGCTTCGCTGCATGCGAATAAAGCGCGGCAAAAACTTTACGAATTCGAACATTTGTCGAGAAATGCATAAAAATTAATTAACAAGCCTCGGCTGGCTCAGCTGAAACTGAAGAATTATTAGAAAAATAAGCAAGAAAATCAACAGCATCAGAATTTTTAATTGGCTGCTCGTGCAGATTTTGCCAGCAAAGGCTCAAGTCAACGTCAGCAGTGCTGATTGTTATACCCTAAGCGCATTAAAATGCGTAAAACGGGTAGATTGGTTTTTATGTGAACGTATGTGACAGACTGAAGTTACTTTATCTTCGACCTCTTAGGCTCGATATTTTCTTGACTGAGACAA